CCATTTTTCTCTGCCAGGATAGCCGAGCCCGTTACAGCTGCCGAACACCTTCGAAATACTCAACTCCAAGATGCTTCAGTTCCACCGCAGTAGTGAACTAGCACCGACAGTGCTCTGGGAACCGAAGTCAAATGTGAAGAGGTGGGAGGTGGTGCCGTATGCAGTCACGGAAAGACACTCTTATTACCAATGTATGACTAAGCAGCAAAATGAAACATTGAAAAGGTAGTTCTCGCATATAGGATTTATTTTGTTTCCTAATTCAAAAGTTTCCGGTAAGTATTAACAGCTAGCACATTTAGAGATACGTTCATCATGTTACACTGGGACACCCAGGAACACAAACAAGCTCATTTTAAAATAAAGGATCATGACATTCTTGAGAGGTAGGTGAAGAGTCTTGAATTGACATAGTTTGATATTGAAGGGCAAAGGAAAATAGTTATATCTGTCAAGAACAGGTTAAGCCAGTTGTGTCATCTGTGATTCACAACCCATGTTTTTGCATGGCTACTGCAACTTCAGGTTGTTCAACACTGCACATTGCCTGTATCACACACTGGACTTTACCAACACCGATAGACAATGTCCTAACCCTTCCATCTACCATTCTATTGGCAGAGCACCCTATATCACTGCTCAGGCTTTCTAAGTAGACGGCTTTGTTCAGATGTCTAAAACACAGCAGGCCTGCAGAGCCAGAGGGGAAGTAAGCATCTGTTTCATTTTGTAATTATTAACTTGGAATTCCATGTCAGAAATATTAGCTGGCAGCTTAGCAAGCTACAGTAAAGAACATGGTAAAATCAGAACTTGACTTTCTGAAAACACTCCAGTAGCTTCTCCTCAGATCATTTTCAATACTAAAACAAAAACCAATCAGTACATTTAAATCAGTGACCCTGGCAGTCCAAACTGCAAAATAAGAAAAATAAATTTAGTTGATCAAAGAATGGCTTTAACTTCCCTGATCTCAGTCATGCTTGAAGAGTGAAAACCTGTAACACAACTGCACCCTCTTCACTCCAAATGCCCTTTTTTCCTGTTAGTTGGATACAGGAAGTGAGATATGGATAAGGAACTTAAGAGTTTTGGTGCTAGGAAAGCTGCAAGATCTGTTTTCCAGATTACTTAAATACTACTTACATGTTAGAGTAAACCAGGTATCCTTAAAAAGTATAATTAAAGCACTGGTTTCATGAATCCACAACAAAAAGCCCTCTAGAGAATGACCTGCATCCACAAGGACTAAGTAGGAATTTTCACCAAAATCTTTGTAAGACTGGTTAAAAAAAGCACGAAACCTATCATCCCTCTCCCCTCTGTTCTTTGTATGAGACTCTTCTGAGAATGACTGGAATGACTTGAGCATTAAAGTCCTCTCCAAAGACAACAGCTTTTGACAAGAGATGCATTTAAGCCACCTTTCTACATAATAAATACTGTATAAATCCCTAGGATACACAAATATTTGACAGTGGAAGAAATATACTTTTCACCAAGAAAATTCTTTGTGACAAGATTTAGTTTAGGAAGTGCCCATTCACCATCTGCTCCCATTACTTTGAGTTACCTACGGATATTCGAGCAGATGACATCAGTGAAGCTGACACAGGAGTAGGCACCAATGCCACACTGTCCTCCCTGTGACACACTGAGATAATTTCATAGAAGATTCCATTATCACCAACATGTAATTAATTTTGAAATCTGACACGAATGAATAGTTGAAGGTTTTAAGCTGTCAAAGTGTACAATGCAAAAACCTTGCTGAAACATGCTGACAAGAACAGGCTGTGTACTAACTGCAATACAGAACAGAACTGCTGTTTCTCAGCACAAAGCCCCTCACAGCAAGCAGTACTATTCTTCACTTGTTCACTGAAAATAAGGAAAAAAAAAAGCTAAGCTGCATAGTTATGAACATTACATATTATTCTAACTAGTTCTAAGCTTTTTTGGAAACACAATTCATCATTTTCACATTCCAGAACCTCAAAGACTTCAATCTGCTTCAGCACTAAACCCTTACACATCCCTCTCCATTACTTCCCCACCGATCATGGCTTTGCCATTCTGCACATACCATCAAGAACATCCAAGCAATTGAGAGCCTATTCATATCCTGTTTTAATGACACCTTCTCCAAAGTATCTTTGCCACTTCTGAAGATTTATCCCATTGTAGAAATCAATCTTCAAAATTGTCACATCCATGCACAGGGAGGCCACTGCCCCAAACATCTGTTTCAGCTGTGCACAGTAGTAATGAAAGAGAACTACTGACTTAACACACATCCATATAAACAAACCAAGGAGACCTCCAAATCACATTAGTGACTCATGAAATCCTTTTCTTGACAGGGCTCAAACTGTATTCTAGCAACACGAGTTTCACTTTTAGAAGGCGAATTAAAATTCACCATTAAAAGGTGAATTCCCTACAATACTGTTAACGCAAAGTGATTCAGGCTTAGAAATAACTTAAAGTACGGCATTCCAACTTTTAATGGCTTTAAATATTAAAATATTATTTTATAGATTTAAAAAGATGAGCTCAACAAAAAGTTACCCATAACTTTGGGACCTCTTTGCTTTTTGTAAGCAGCCACCTCAGCATTAAATGATGAGCTGCAAAAGGTCAGAGGGGAATCATTCTTTAGTATGCCTGTTTCTCAAGCTGCTATCTTTGAGGACAGAACTGATGTGCACTGTCTTCATTCACAAAAACATACACTTACACTAGAGAACATAAACCATTCAGTGAGCACATACACATTTCCAAAAGAAATAGTACTACTGCAGCATGTAGCTGCAGAATAACTCAGAAACTAGAAAAGGCAATAACCCATAATTTGATAGCACAGCCTATAGAGAGGACTGGCTATTACATACTGCACTATACATACTGGAAGCAACAGGACATAGGAGAACCACAGCCCATCCACTAAGAATATGGTTTTACTGAGAATACTACTCTTTTAAATTATGACAAATTGGAACCGAGATGATCAGAATGCTTAGTATCTTGCTTCAGACCCCCACAGAACCAATAGAGATCAGGAAGGTTTATAGGTTTGCATTTTCACACACTACACTGTGAAGGTATCAGAAGTAAACAAGCTGTAAGTGTCCAGTTTACTGATTGGAACCTGGGCCAACTGAAGCAGGAAATAAGACAGCCCCAAAGACAATGTTTGCATCTGTGTTCTGCTTTCAGAGGAAGATCTGGACCTGATCAAATGTATGCAAGGTAACTGGAAATTAGCATGGCCTGTTGAAAGAGAACAGCCTGCCTGGTAATCTCTTTGAAACTATTATACAGAAACTATTATAATAAGAGTACCTAAATCTTGAGATAAAAGTCTCAGAGCTGCAAACTTAACTCCTGGATACATGGGCAATTTGCCCTCATCTGACTCATTTGCCCTCAGAATCTATACATGTATCATTAGAGACAGTAGATTAATTGGTAATAAGTCTTGACCATGGAACTATCTTTGACAGCTATTTATCAGTGTCAGGAAGTAATCTGCTTGAACATAACCATATCTTTTTAAATAAGAGAAGTAGCTTTTAATGGAATTGAGAACTGATATTTTCAGTATTAAGACAAAATTGTGAGCACACTAAAAGCCGAAAGTGAAGATTTAATATATTTGCTATGATATTCTATTGCTCAGCTCCTGAATCGGTATTTGCACACATCTGTCCTTATCGGGAAATAGCAGTGATTATCAAAAGATGTTACAAACTTTTGCAACATATTAACTAGTGCATCATTGTTGCCCTGATAAACCTATGAACACTAGTTATGAATCCAAGAACACCTCTTACAGATTCAAGTTCAATACCATTGTGGGAAGAAAAAAAAAACCAATAAATTTCACTTAATTACTTCAAGTGAAATTAGTGCTGTCTTGTGCCAATCTAAGAGCTTTAGAAATTGAGGCTTCATCTACAATGATGACCAGTGGCATGGTTTAAACCCAGCCAGCAACCCAGAAATACGCAGCTCCTCCCTCCCTCCTTCTTTCACCCCCACTTCGAGAAGGATGGGGAGGAGAATGCAAAGAATGGGAATCCCACAGGTTGAGATAAGAACAGTCCAGTAACTAAAGTATAATACAAAACTACTACTGCTACCACCAATAATAATAATAAGGGAGACAACAAGGGAAGAGAATATAAAACTAAAAAGGGGAAAAGAAAAACAACAATAAGTGATGCACAATGTAATTGCCCACCACCCAATACCCAGCCCAACCCAAGCGGCAATCTGGGCCTTCTAGGTGACACCCCCCCCCGCCAGTTTATATACTCTGCATGATGCGCTGTTGTATGGAATACCCCTTTGGCTAGTTTGGGTCAGGTGTCCTGTCTCTGTTTCCTCCCAGCTTCCTGTGCTCCTCCTCACTGGCAGAGTATGAGACTGAAAAGTCCTTGATCAGAGTAAACATTACTAAGCAACAACTAAAACCATTGGTGGGTTAGCAGCGTTGTTCTCACACTAAAGTGAAAACACAGCACTGCAGAAGCTACTAAGAAGGAGAAAAATAACTGTTTACAGCTGCACCCAGGTCACAGAGGTGGCAAATGGTACCCCATATCCCTGCAAACTGCTATTATGGCTAGAATACCTGTGTAACTCCCAAGCTCTACTGAGCACTACCAGAGTTCCTACTGATGACAACCAATATTTATGCAGGAAAGACTGCAGTGAACTCATTTCCTGCTGGTTTCTGGAACAGCTTTCATTTACTAACACAGAATCTAAATTTGCAACTTAAAATTCAGAAAGGCTGATACCTTCCCAGTCACTCAGCAGTCAGTTGCTGTTGTGGCTTCTGCTTAAACTCTTTGGCCAACAGGCTGAAGTGCACAGAACTGCTGTTCTGCACCTGGAACAGCGGATTAAGACACCAAATTCAAACTCACTCTAGTGAGGTTAATGAGTACTGCTTGTAGTAGGGCTATGAACAAAAACACACATCTCCACTCTTGTGAAAGACAACATTATGTGATTGTTAATAGCCAAACAAATTAAGGGTTTTGTGACAATCAAGAAATGCACTTGACCATTTACAGCAAAACAGATTTATACAATAACAACAAGTAACTTATGGCCTTGTCTACCTGCAAATGAATTCCTTCAGCAGGTATGCACAAGATATTGTTCAGTCATAAAAATATATATATATATTATCTCTTTCCTTTAACATTTAGGTATATAAATATTTTACTGAAGAACATGCATCATTTAGATAAACGATTGCAAGAACATCCTCTGAAGACACAGGGTTCTTTGATATTTAGCAATATAAAATGAATATATAAACACAGCTATTGAAGTCAAGACAGACCAATACAGCAGCAAGCAGTCCGTTGTGTGCCAGTCCAAAGGAATTAAGCACCCTTTGCAACAGGTTATATTATATACACACAGAATGCATTGTAAATGGAGCAAAGATAGCATCATTCCATCTGCATATTCTTCAGTCTTAGCTGGACTCCAAACTTACTGGTCACTCTTCTGCTCTTGTTTTCCATTCAGCTCTTGGTCAACTCTGCTTACCAAAGAAAGCAGTGAAATTGAAACAATGTTAGTAAATAGTTTAGTTTGACTACTGATATATTAAGCAAAACTATTCCTCTTAACAGGAAAACACAAAGCTTTTACATGGAAAAAGTTTTAGTAAATAAATACGAAGATTTTTATTGAATGCAGTCACAACAGTGTTGGGCTTTTTTTAAATCTATTTTCCTACCTCCCCTTAGAAATCAATTAAAATTGTTGAGAAACCAGTTAAATAATAAATAAATACAACAAATGGCATTTGAAAAGAAGCATTTGAAAAGTGCAAGTTAAGTTTGACTGTGGAAAAAAACAACCCAGACTGACTGTATTAATGAATACAAGCAGGAATACAGGCTCACAGGTAAAATGACAACACTGCAAGCACCACTGTGATGAATAAGCACAGAATTACCTTTAATGCTACAGTAATTAAGCCAAGAAGGTAACAGCACTAGTTGAATCAACAAAAGTCAGGTGGCTCCTTAAGTGCAATACTTTTTCTATTACATTCTAAGACTCCTGTCATCATCCAGGGAAAAAATAAAAATCACCATCATGCTGCTATAGCTGCTGGGTTTCTGCTTTTGTTTGTGCCCTCCCTTTTTTGTTTTTTAAATATACCTGTATCTGCCTTGGGACTAGCAAACAAAATGTTGCTTTGCAGAAAGCAGTGGATGGTTGACAGCCCTGCCAAGATGTACTTTTCCTCTTTACAGGAAAAAGAGGCTCATCTTAACTACACCTTCTGGAAAATAAGCCGTGTGTGGAGTTAAGTTACTTTTAAAACCAGTAGCATTTCTAAGTGAGAGAGGCCAAGGCCAAGCCTGTCTTCTAACAGCCTGCCTAACCTATGTGTCCAGTCTCTCAAACTGTAACTAGCAGTTTTTTCCAGGTGATTCAAACAATGACAGCTCTTTCAGGACATGAACCCATAACAAGGAGACAGGAGTTTGGGCTTTTTCTGGTTTTGCAACTGTAAAACTCAACTCAGTACACAAGGATCCAATGGGTCTGGAGCAGTGTTGTCTAGAAGCAACAGTCCTCATCAAATACTTTGTTCACCTGCACAGTATGCAGCTACAACTCACCCCTGTCCTCACTGCAGTACCTTAGAAAAGCATGTTTTGACATGACCTACAGGACTAATCACACAAAATGTACGAAACTGTGGAGAGCTAATGCAAACAAGCTATGCCTAAACATACAGCTGACAGTATAAATCCATAGAAGTATATCATACCCTAGCTTCCAGAGTGATTCATACACATAGCCAAAGAATTCCTACTGCCATCCTCAACAACTATAGTAATTAAACTTCAATGTATCTCCTTTCCCCCCTTTATAATAAATAATGTCCTGCAACTGCTTTCAAGGTGATTGAAATCTCAGTATCAAACAGTGGCTGGCAATCTCTATACTTCAGTTTCACTTAGGAACATACTAGTGATGGTAGCATGAGTGATGGTATCAACAGAACACTAAAGAGTGCTTGTTGTAGTGGAAATTTTTAAAAGTGTTTACACATTATTGTTTGAATAAGTATGCATCCTGAATACAACGGGCCTTGCAACAAAATTGGGCAAATAAAACTGAACAAAAGTTCTGCTTAATATATACTCAAAGGGTTTCTTAAATTTGACAGGGTTAGTACTTCAGGTTGAATTGGAATAATTCCTAAAACGTTCAACACTTGTCACTACTTTGCCTGGTAGCTATTGGAAACAGTTTCAGTTCATTTTAATCTCTGTGTTCCTCTCTCTGCCTTACTCTCTACCCAACTTAGACAATAAGCCTCCTTCAGTAGTTATGCACTCAGGAAAAATAACAATAATAAAAAAAGCTGTTAGTAGCAAATCCTCAGTACATTTGTTAGTGAGAGTGAAAAATGGATCCATTGCAAAAATCTCAGCAGCTTCTGGAATAGCTTGAACAGTTAGCAGGAGATTGAAAGTTAAAAAAATGAAAATTCAATGTTTATTAGCAAGGAACATAGGCACTGCAAATACAAACAGCACTAAACACTACTGACTTGAACTGCATCTGTGCAAGTTAATAACCAAAAAACAGTACTGAATACCAAAAATACAAAATACGAGATTCAAAATGAGATCTTCTTCCAGAGTTGCATGTCTGTTGACACAGAGCCACAGCTCAGCACCTGAAACCACCTCTTCCTTCAGACATCACTTCTTGTAAGAAACAGTGAAACTTCATTTAATAGATTCATACAGAAGCACTACTTTTGCCTCTTGAAGACTCAGTTGAGAATCCATGTAATGCTCTTAAAAAGTGAGCATCTCACATAATAGAGACTATTCACAAATATCTGTTTGAATATCCAGGGTGAGTTCTTTTAGATGACAGACTGCACAGGCACTATAATTACTTTAATGCATAAAAACTTGGTCACTAGTGCATGTTTATATTTACAAATGCTTATTCCTTCATGCAAGCCAATCAACTGGGAGTTAGTTGCAGTGCAAATCATCTTATCTAGATGCAACCCTAATCAAAATATGAATATACCTTTTCTGTTTCTTTCTAAACTTTTCTTCTTCATACCTTGGTGAAGAAAAGTTTGATTTCAGTAAACATAACATATGAAGGCCAAATTCAACAGAAGCTGCAAACTGGTGTTAGTGTCAATACAGTTTGCAGAAACATACCAAGTTTTGAAACTGATATAATTAAAAATATATATAGTACCTCCACCATTTTTAACCATTAATCAAGAAGTATTACATTTTAATGACATTTGAATTCAATACAACTTCTTCCACAGTATTGACATCCACTGCCAAAATTTAAAGTCTATACTCAGAACAGTTTGAAGCCAGATATATTCCTCCACAGAAGTCTGAGAATTAACTCCACAAGTTAACCAAGTTCAGACTTTGCAGAACAGTTAAAGGTTCATCAACACAGAAAGGAGTATTTCAAGACTTGGAATGACAGTCTGAATTTTCATAAGATATCCCTCAAAAGCCCCAGTAGAAGTATCCTAAAGCTAGCAAAAGGCTGCTTCAGCATTGTCATGTCCTTCCTCCCAGCCCCAAGAAAACTGCGTTTTCTCCATCTTATGCAAAGTTACATTGTGCAACTGATACCAGGTGTGTACTGCAATAACCAGACATTCGCAGGGATACAGTGAGGATCTGTCCAACACGGATGTACCCTTCTGTCCAAATAGTGAGACTTCCATACGGAGTTCCCAGTTTGTGATCACCTATTGCGATGCATACTCTATCAGTTTTGTACATGATAGCCTCTAACAGGCCAATCAATTCATAATCAGAATTGTTAGTAGTTTCATCTGGCTTTTTTAATACTCAGGTTGATGGTTTCTATTCTATTACTTCACCCACAAATGCTACTGACAAATGTATTGTCATATTTGAGAGAGGAGTTCCACTGATGTTAAAATGGCTATTTTTACTTGGAGGGAAGGAAAAGGAGAAAACCAAGGACACTGATGCTGCCTTCACCTCTTTGACACCATAATTTTAGAACTCTTATTGGGTAGGGATTCAACATTTTTCCACAGCTCTTTTTTTAAATGACATCCCAACCCAAGTGATATTTACCACTTAAATTGTTCCACATTTTAGCATGAACATTGCAGATGCTATAACTTCAGTATCAACATGCCCAGAATCTCTCACTCACCAGCCGGTTTAGTATAATGAGGTGAATGGAATGGGGCCTTGGCTCTAGAAGACTTAATTCACACAACATAACTTGATAACTAAGTAAGGCACTATCTGTGAAAATCCCTATACATTATCACACCAAACTGCAGTTAGCAATGTGGTCAAACATGGATACTCCTCCTAAAGCTAGCAATGACTGGAGTTAAATTATTAAATGCAAAGTATTACATTCAAACCCATCAGAGATTACAATATATACCAGTTCTAAAACACAATCAGTGTAGAACATGTTTGAATAATAAAACATACTGTTTTATGCATTCTGGGATGCCAACGTATTCCATGGGGATGAGTTCAGCTAGCTCCGCCAGGGTAAAGACATACCTAATTTTTTGGCTGAATTTTGAGCTGTGGAAGAACAAATGTAGGCTACAGTTACAACTTAATATTGACCTATTGCAAAAATTAAAACAGTTTTTGAAGTTTAATGTAAACAGTAGTTAGGATTTTTTTTAACAGCTTCCAGGTTATTACCTAATAAAGGGTTTTGTGACAGCCAGAAGTGTTCTGATGAACCAAGAAGGATGAACTATGATTAATGATTTCAGATTTTTCCTTAACCTGAAGAATTCAAACAGCAGACATAGTTACTAGCACAAAAAAGCAGCAGGACAACAAGGGGATTTTCAATATATAAAAACTATGTTTCTGTAAGCAAAACTATCACATCAATCTTGTATTCTGACACTCCATTATTAGAAGTTACCATCTGCCAGAAGAAAAAACTATGCAGAACTGCATAATGAAAATGTAAGATATAGAAGGAGTTTGACAATAATGACAAGGAATTAATATGCCAAAGAGAAGTTTCTTTGAATCTTTCTACTTAACTAATGATGTTGTTGTTCATGAAAGACACCCCATTATTAACCTTACCATATTAATACGTGAAGTTTTACGGATATTCTACATGGTAATAGTATTTGGTATTTTCACACTACTATTTTCACTAGAAACCAACAAAAAGCCAGGTATGCCTGTAGCATTATTCCACACTGTCTAGCTTAGGAAGAGGTTTTCACTACATCAAGTAATTTGTATGATTAAATCATAACTAGAAGGTACCAGACACCACAGTAAACAGCAGTTGTCTTAAGTGTGTAGATCACTGATCATGTGAATATTGTAAGAAGACACTGCAGAGCTTCTTACCTTCTATCAATTTGCTGGTAACATTTCCTGAGCCAGCCTAAACTTGGCATTTTTCTCCGTGTTGTTGCACCATTCAGGTAAACTATCATATAGTTCTCCGCTACCAACAGCTCTAAAGTGCCAATTACATACCTACAGACACAAGCACAGAAAACTTTCAAGTGAGATCTGTGAATATTAAAGTAATTCCTAGTAGTGCTCAAATAAATAAATAAATAAATAAATAGAGAGAGAGTTGTCAACAGTGTTGAGCAACATATAGTAACTTCTTCCCCCCTTTGCCCTGGAAGCAGATGGAGTTGCTTCTCTATTTGTTATCTTTCCCTCACCTGAAACATAAAAAACTTCATTAAAAAAAATTATTTCCCTTGCACTAAAATGTTAAATTTCATGTTGTAAAATTAAGTATTCAGATGCAGACGATGACTTACTTAAATAGATTGTCCATTAGGTATCTATAGTTTGGCTGGCTGCTTTCAGGCATAAAGCAAACAGCAAACACAACAATGGCATTTAACCCATCACCATAGTAGCCTAAAAACAAAGAAAAAAGCAGTAATAGTGACCAAGGTGACTGCACACTGATTACATTTTCACCAAGCCAAGCACATTCAGTAAGCGTTTTCATTATTTACCTTAAAGAGAGCTAAAAACATCTATGCTATATGGATGGACTCATACAATTACAGAAGATTTCAAGTTTGTCTACTTCTAAAGAAACAGGTGAAGCTGACATAGATCAAATGCTGATTCAACATCTCAAGTGTAGAATCTCAGTAAATTTAATAACATTTAATAACATTTTTATTTAGTCAAATTTTCTTCCAACCTAAACTCCATAGACTGTTAGGAAAAGTCATTAGATTGATTTATGCCTCAGTAGATCTACAGTTAATGCCTCAAACACTCTTTAAACAAAAATATCTTAAAATTCAAAAAACTCTTAAAAAAATTCTACAGGTAGCACTGACACTGTAGAACAGGTAAGTACATCTTACTGCATAGGTGCATCTTAATACTTTCATCTGAACATGCATGCATTTTGGAACTTGAATTTAAGAGGGGAAAAAAAAAAAAAAAAAGGATTAAACCAACCATGTGCCTTAACATTGCAACAAATGAATCACTACTTGAGCCTTTATGCCCAAAGCTCTTCCTGTGCCACCCCAACTCAGCCTAAAGAAGTAGTTCCTCAAGAGTTCCTTCTCAGCACATCACATATCCTTACCACCATGACTGATAACTTTTTTGTATGGTTCAATTGCCTTCATGTCCACCCTGTGGTCCTGTTCACCGATTCTAAACATTCGCCAGCGTCGACCATCATCTTTTTCCTCTGCCGCAGCATATTCAGTAAGTGATCCTTTCCTAATGACATCAGTAGTTTTTGGTTTTGGAAGATCATCTGCCAAAGTTAACACACGTTCAAGATCCACTATGAATACTTATGTACAGTGACAATCAATTACAACACGGGTTAACCACTTTGCTATCTATTTAGTATTCTCTAGCCAGTCAGATGTAACAGCTGACTTAGTTCCCTCAGTCACTGCAGAATAGGATCTGATGGGTGTCACCTATAGTTTATCAAAATACTCCACGTTGGCAGTTATCCATCAACTGTAATTTTCTATGTTAAAGTACGTGACAAATCTCCATTTGTTTAAGAAACCTATTTAATTGTAGGCTTTCAGAACACAGACCTTGATGAGTCTCACCAAAATAAACAAAGTGGTTAACTCCAATGATAATTAGACAGGTTGCCTGATCAGAGATTTACATAAAAGCATGATTTAAAACATTGAGCACCTTGCAAGCAGACATGCAGCCAAATTATTAGGAATTAAATCTAATTCACATGCGTGCAATCAATATGTATCTAAAATTTATGTTGACAGCGATCTGTAAGACAATTTGCTCCAATTAAATAAGATTCTTGACTTTGTTGCACAGACCTTACCCAAAGCGAGAAAAACCTACTGCAAGTTAGTTGTCTGTTCCCAAGACAAAGCTGTTAATTGAAACTATCCTTCCAGGAAAATGAAGGCAGCAGCATTAAAGGAAGAAAAGACAGAAACCCTTTTCAGCCACTTCAAAAAACAAGACACAAACATTTGGCACATTTCCTTCACATCATTGCAAAACTGACCCTACTTCTTCACTACAAAGAGAACCCTTCTACATAAGTAAACCCGCAGTCTGTTATGAAAAGTTCCCTTGCAACACGTTTTTAGCTATTTAAAAAAACCCCACCCAACTTATTCTAAAGAGTGTTTCTCCTTTTATAAGCTATCTTGGAATAAAGAACAGGCAATGTTTAATTTAGACCAGTGAAAAGAGCTTCCTGTTTACTCAGGAATTAAAAGTATTTTATTTCCAGAATGAAAAAAAAAATAAAAATAACTGAGTTAACACGATAATTCAGTAAGAGACATTCTTAAGTCATGAAGTTTGCAGAAGTTGAAGACTCCAGCTGCTGACCAACACAACAGTTCTTGGCTCACATAGAAGGGCCCTAAAACAAAATTAAACTGCAAGTTTAAAACTTGTGCTTTAACTTCTTGCTGTGGTTTAAGCCCCACCAGCAACTCAGCACCACACAGCCATTTGGTAACTCCCCTACCTTCCCACTCCAGGTGGGATGGGGAGGAGAACTGAAAGAAAGTAAACCCCACAGGTTTAGTTTAATAACTAAAGTACAATATATTACTAATAATAATGATACAGCAATAACAAGGGGAGAGAATATAAAACTAACAATGAAAGGGGAAAAAAACCAAACAATAAACGCAAGATGCACAATACAATTGCTCACCACCTGCTGACTGATACTCAGACCAACCCAAGCAGCGATCTGCCCTTCTGGGTGACTCCCCCGTTTATATACTGGGCATGATGTGCTGTGGTATGGAATACCCCTTTGGCATGGGTATTTGGTTTGGGTCAGGTGTTCTATCTCTGCTTCCTCCTGGCTTCTTGTGCCCCTCTTCTCTGGCAGAGCATGAGAGACTGAAAAGTCCTTGATCAGGATAAGCATTACTTAACAACAACTAAAACATCAGTGTGCTATCAGCACTATTCTCAGACTACAGCTGAAACACAGCACAGCACCAGGAGAAAAAAAAAAAACAAAAACTGTTACAGCTGAACCCAGCACACTTCTACACAGAACTCTTAACCTCAAATTTGTCAGAATCCCCAGGTTTTGCCTATATGAATGAGGCATCTATTCATTTCTTAAAATAAATATCATTACTAGTGTGGCTACAGCTAATACACTATCAAGTAATTTAAGAATTCCTTGACACAAAATAGAGGCTCTTTTACCACTTCCAGTCAATCCAGAAAGCATGCAACCTTTAAGGCTAATGAGTATTTGCCATTCTCACCACAGTAAGACGTGACAGCAGGCGTTACTGAGTATTTTAAGAAATACCATTCAGCCCTCCTCAAACACAATGGCTTGCGTTTTCATTGATTTCTGACTAGCTAATCTATACCCATTTATATGGTTCACCTCCACTTAAAAGTATCTGCAGTACACATAACTCACATTGGATATCCCCCCCCGCCCCCCCTGGTTCTTAAAAACACTGCAACCGAGAGGAACCTGGACTCTTTCAGGTATTTATGACCTTCCCCTAAGTTTGAGTTACAGTTATTCTTTTGCCAGCTTGCTAATCAATCAAGGTCTGATTTGGTCTTTAAAAATTCACTGCACCTATTTCCAACTTATAAGCTAATAAATCCCTTTATATTTTTCTGCTTGTAATATTGGTCATGGTTATGACCCACCTGAAAAAGTGGTGACCTGCACATAACAAAATAGAAATATTTCAGAGCCTCAGACAAAAGTAACAAAATACTTACCTTCCCATTCAAACTCATTGCTATTTTCTGAAGGAGTATCTAAATTGTCCAAATCAATCTCTCCACTCTCATCCAAGTCATCAGACAAAACAGACTCCTCACTGTGATCCAACGTTAAGCTAATATCTGGAGCCATCAGTTTCTTCCTCACCTTGGTTCCATTAGCCTCTGTATTTAAAAAAAAGCAAATTATTTAATTGCAAAGCTAAAGGAAGTTGAGCTAAGCATATTAACAAGATAGAAGAGCCCAGTGCTTTGTCATAATGCATGGTAAGTTAAGACCCATAACTTAAACCAACCTATCTTTGGAATAAGAGTTAAACACAAGGTGAAAAGAACAGCACTTCAAGGTCAGAGTTCTTAGGACTGTAAGCTTACAGAGCTGCATACACACTATGATCACAGTGGTAGACCACCACACTCCCTACGGAAGAAAAGCCTCAAGTCTTGCAAAGAATGCAATAGGTTCATGTCCTTAGCCCTTTTGTTACGTATTCAAAACATCATAACCATCTTTGATGAAATAAAAGAGAATACACAAGCTAAAAAGACTAAAAAAGGCTGACAGACAACAGCAAAAACAGAAAATGAAAGCAACTATTAGGTGAGAATACGCAGCATGCTTTGAGACACAAGGCAAATACTTGTGTGACTTAGACAGCAGATGAAAGCAGGAAATAAAACAACCAATCCAGAACTGGAAATGCCACAACTAAAGCAGACAAACAAGATAAAAAAAATTTTAAACATAAAAACCCCCATCTGTATGACTTCCCTCCTGCCCATTCAGACAACTTTCTTAAAAGGCTGCAGAGGTCTGAAATCTGGAGTGAAACTAAAGCAGGCCCGAACTGATGCACGGAAGCCATGTGAACCAAGGTTTTAAGATGGGTCTGGGAGTGCAGTAATTCATTTTTGTCCAGTACTACTCTGTTCACAGGGAGGATAAAGAGTCTCATTTTATTCCAAACCCCTCTTTTTTCTAGACCATATGTTTATACTACCCTTCATACACAAAAATGCCACTTAGAATGCTGCTTCCCCAAGCCTGACAAAACACAAAACAAACACAAAACCAAAAACCCCACACCACCAAAAAAAACTAAACAAAAATCCACCCACCACCCAAAAAAAAACACCCAGAACCACCCCACACCAAAAAAGAGCTTTAAGACAGCCATATAAGTAGGAAGCCATCAGCTTGACTGGAGTGGAATATTCTCACCAGCTTCACTTTCTGTTCCAGTGGCAGCCAATACATCTGACTCCACAGGATCATCCTCTGGCAGAGGCCTAGTGCACAAAGGGGAAACTGTTGTTACAAAACTTGTTTTCTTTTTTAAATAGCCAGCTAAATGCCAATTATTTAGACTTAAACACTGCTTACTACTGAACTTAACTTACTTACACCTAAAGTTCAAGCTTTCACCAAGCAAAGCACCCAAGTCACTGAAAATTCCTTTACAGGATTCAAGCAAACATCTGTTGATGTAATAAGTGCCAAAATACTGGTTCCTACTAGTGTCATCCTTAAGGAAACTTGTCATGTTCTTGCTTGAGAACATTTGACATGAAATACATTACAAAAGTAGTTCAGTCGTGTTATTATGGAATACCTGTGATGTAAGTTGGTTTAGTTTGTTTGTAAGCCCAAGCATTACTAGCAGTCTTTAACTGTTATTAATTTTGCTCAGAAATGTTGCTTAATGAAATATTTGGGCCTTTAGACTCTGGTAATAATACGCAAACAACTTAGTTACAGAAGACTATTACAGAGAACAAAGCCAAACTTGCAGATTTTCACTTTAGTACCTCTGGCAGCTTCACCAGTGGCATTCCTGTATTACTTAACAGACGTAAGGGTTCCCTCTTCCAGAGCACAGAGCTTTTGAAAAATACTATATTAACGGACATCACTTCAAGATGATTAGAGTGGTAGTTCACATGGAAGATAAAGAGGCAGCTTATTCTGGATGTTATGCATTTCATTTAAATTACTTTAAAAAAATAAAATTATAAACCTTGGAAAATCTTCATCTTGCCATTCTTCCTTAAACTCAACACCTTCCATTCTCCAGCCAACTTGAATTGTTAATAGAGACTCCTTATACACCAGAACCTCTTGCCTTCAGGACAGTAGGCTAAAGAGGAGCTGCAGAACATAAAAGAAAATGCTAGTTCAATACTATTTTAAGTCCCACACTTGCAGCACATCCTTCTACTTAGACCCAAGTTATGATACTACACAGTGGGGGCAGGAGGAAACAGGGAAAATTTAAGGTTTGCTTCTATTTATACTTTTTTCCTCATACAGAACTGCTCATGGAGTGGTTTATCATACACTGATTTCAGTTGAAAGGGATCTCATACAGCCCAATGCCCTGCTCAAGCAGGAACAACCTTTCAGTTGCAGGCCCAAAGCAACCTGATCTATCATTTAGGATAGTTCCAGTTCACTCCAAACTTTAAGGAACTTGACAGCTCTCCAGATTCTATAGGAGATACTAAGTGTATACTTTTAATAACTACTCAGACAGTCAGATCTAAAACATAAACCAAGTTCTAACCCCCTACTCCCCCCAAAAAGAGCAAGCAAAAAAAAAAAAAACCAAACAACCCACCACACCAACCCCAAAACCCCTACAGATAACTATTTCAGAAAGCAATCTCACCCTGTGATGTGCAAGTCAAGCTGTGCTTTTTGACGCTCACCCATCACCAGCAATAAGAAATCCCCAATAATGGAACATAATAAACCATTCTGCTGATACACAAGTCCAAGCTCTTGGCTGCGCTGGCTCTAAAGATTAGCAGGAAGAGGTACACTTATCAATGAGGATGTTAACAAAACCAACACTAATCAAAACAGGAAGCTACTTTTGAAAGCAGAGAAACAATGAACAGAGAAAACAAGTTTGGATGCAATCATACTGCTAATTATGACATTCAGGTTTTTACATGCCCCAAAAGAAGCAAGATACACTTACTATTCTGGAGGATCACCTTTCACAGCAAATCTCTATTGCTCTTCTCATGACCCGACACAGCCACAGACTGATTTTAAAGTGTCCTGCGGTGCTCACAGCTATGCTGTGCGAGCTGATTAGATAAAAGCAAACAAGCCCAAGAGACCGGGTTTTGTAAAACTGCAGTACCAGAGACAAAAATTTAAGCTTATTTTACTGTCATTTGCTGCTTCCCTCACCAAGAGAACTGAAATTAATTTTCTAGGAGGCAGCAGCCTAGTTCCTCTTCAGGGTCAGACTGCCCTGGTTTGAATTGCTCAGCCCAACACCATTCAGGTGCTGACAGCGTGTGCCTGTGCACACAGCCTCCAACAAGCTGCCCCCAGGAATTGTCCTCCCAGCTCTCCCTTGTTCTGTTTGTTCTTTTTGACTAATACACTGAAGCAGCTCCTTGCTGCTTGAATCATACTACTTTCCTCCTGAAACATGCCCTCTTTTTCATTAACATGATGATCTCCTCAGCATGCAGTTTCTCCTGGGTACAAACCTGCTGAGTGTTTGCACCAATGAATTTTAAATATTTGCTTCATTTGAGATCAAATCAAATATTTGAGATGAAATTTTGATCAGTGACAGAAGTGGATATGTGCATAGCTCTTTGCGCATGTTTCAGACACCGAGACGTAGCGTGAGAGCTTTCCTGGGAACAGACCATCTGATGCAAACATGCAGTTGACTGTAAATGAAAAGACACCAAACCTAAATGAAAATCTTAAGTGGTAACTTCATTCTTATGGGACAGATGCAGAACTGAAGAAAACCGACAGGAAAAAAAAAAAAGAAAACAACACACAACAACAAAACCAAACATCAACACCACAAACCAACCCTATCACTGTGCTCGTGGCTATAAGCTGCTACTCGAGCTTGCCTGCACTGTGTTCACAAGACAGTTTCCACAAGATAGCTTAAAGTAGGGTCTTGCTCCAAGACTTGAACAGTACCCTTCCTTTGTAAGGTTTAAATACGTGTACGAGTTAACCAGAAACAACCAATTACTACACAGTGTATTCCATTAGTAGCTGAAATAAGGAGCAACCCTTAACCTCCGCGGCACAGTTCTACGCTGCGCATTTACTAAACCTCCACGGAAAAAAACAGGCCCCCGCACCCGCTCGTTCCTCAGCCGCGGCAGAGAAACGGGGTTCGTGCTGCCGGGGGCGCGCCCGCGGGGCAGGAGCGGGTACCCTCAAGTCCGACGTGCCCGGGAGCGCTCGCAGCGCTGCAGTGCTCTCCGGAGCCAGCCGCGGCGGCGGTCCCTGCTCACCACCCGGCAGCGGCTCTTCGGCTCCCGGCTCAACCCCGCGGCGCACCAGCGGCCGGACAGGCCTCGGCCCCGCCCTGCCCTGCGCCCGCCCGCGGCTCGCAGCCCCCGCCTCGCTGTCCGCAGCCCGCCGCGGCCGTACCTGGCTCTCGGGGTGCGTGGGCGAACGGGCGGGGCCGGACCCGGCCTTGCCCCGGCACAGCGCAGCGGGACCTCCGCGCCGCGCGCCCCTGCTCACCCGGAAGTGCACGCGCCACCGGACTCACGTGACAGCGTCCTCCGCCAGGGGCTGACACACTCCGGTGCATGCGCAGAAATAACACCGCTGCCGCTCCCCCCCCGCGGAGTGCGCGTGCGCACTGCGTCCTTCTGGCGGCGCGCTGAGGGGCGGTGGCGCCGGGTGGCTCCCCCTGGTCCCTCAGCCCGCCCGGGAGCTCTGGGTGGCGGTGAACGGGCCACGGAGCAGAAACGGGGAGGTAGAGTGGGTGAGTTCCGCGTGCTGGAGCAGTGCGCTGTGCCCGGGGCTCGGGAGCGGGCGAGAGGACAGTGAGAAACGCGAGCGGGACCTGGTGAACAGGTAACACCCGTGTGGCAGGCCGGTGGGGCACAGTGCCGAGCACAACACCCGAATCTCCACAGCATTTGAACCTGCAACTTGAGGTGTACAAATACGGCGTCCACTACGCAGCCTTCCCTCATGGTACAATGCGCATACTGCCCTCCCTCATGGCATATTATGCATGATAGAAACATGAGAAGTTAGATAAATCTCATTTTCATCTTTTTTCTTTCTTTTTTTTTTTTTTTGCATATCTAAGGATGAATTATGGAATCTGAGAATGGTTTGGGTTAGAAGAAAGACACCTTCCACTAGGCCAGGTTGCTCCAAGCCCCTGTGTCCAGCCTGGCCTTGAACACTGCCAGGGATGGGGCAGCCACTTCTCCGGGCACCCTGTGCCAGCGCCTCAGCACCCTCACAGGGAAGAACTGACTTGAGATCTCACCTCAATCTCCCCTCTGTCAGCTTAAAAGCATACCCCCTTGTCCTATCACCACACAGTGATAGTAGTGGGAGTTGCTATGAGGAGGAGATCCAAGATGGCAGGAAGGTTTTGGCTAAGGTTTGAAACTTGCCACTAACACGTCATTATAATATATAGGCAGACGCTAACTTGATCACAGCTGCTCTGTTGCCTGAATGATGCAGCAATAGTGACAAAGTTTTTTTTATTGTAGGGTACTGAAGGAACTGGAAATAAATGTGACAGGTGTGAAGTGTGGAAAGAATTAAAAAGCGGAACAAGGAGGCACAAAATGAACAGAGTGTCAAGAAAACCTGGTTTCCACAATAGAGTAGCTTGTGAGGCAGAGTGAGGGTTAAAGCTCTGTTCAGATAAAGGGAGATCTCTATCAGACACACCTGGTTCAGGGTTCTAAATTTGCCTTAAGTATCTACCTATTTTATACCTCCCGATCCACAAAGTTCGTCCTCCTTTCTCCTTTGGCTTAGATACTCAGAGGTTGCAGCTGCCCAGTCTGCCTATAGTGGAATTTTTCATTTTATGTGCACAACCTACAGTTCACATAAGGTTTCACAAGGCTAAGCAAGTTTTTTAAGGTTTAACAAATTGTCACATTATCTACATTGTTTCTTTTTCATAGACCTACAAGTTTTTGTAAGGTTCTGTACTCAGCAGTTTGTAGGACACAGCAGAAACTGACCAAATACTTCATGCCTAAAGACATGGTAGTTTTCAGTCTGCTCCCAGCGGCACACCAAACTTAATGTTACTAGTGTCCCTGCTTTGGCATGTTGTATCACCCCAGCTCTTAATAGTGAAGATCTAGTTTTGTGACTTCTGTGGTCTGTTTGTAATGTACTTGTCTGGGTATCAAAGGCTGAATGGCAAGAGATCTCAGCTTGCTGATTCGGACTATCTGTGAACAGTTGGAATTGTTGCAGAAAGAGCTGGGTCTGACTGACCTATAAAGGGTGTGTGTGATTACTAGTGGGGCACACTGCATTCCAGAAAAGAGACGTTCCCTTTTATGGGCTGCTCAGTTAACATGGATCAAAACTTACGTATTTGTTTGATGCCTGAACACCCCATGATTTATCAGGAAACTTAAGCTTGCAGAGCATGGATTTTGAATCATTACTGTTCTATTCTGCTTTAGATAAATAGAAAATGAGTTTAAATTTGCTGTAGAGGATCATTTTATTACCCAGTAGATGCCCCATCCCTGGCAGTATTCAAGGCCTGGTTGGACGGGGCTTGGAGCAACCTGATATAGTGGAAGGTATCCCTTCCTGTGGCAGGGGTTTGGAACTGGATGAGCTTTAAAGTCCCTTCCAACCCAAACCAGTCTGGGATTCCGTGATTCTACAAAGGGCAACCATGACTTATTAAGTCAAAAGTTTGAATGTTTTCCAGCACATTAATGTTTTAGGAATAATTAAGTCTCATATTAATTACTTTTAATGCTTTTCTAAATACGCTTCAGTTGATGATAAACTCAAAACTTCAAAATGCACAAATGTCATTTGCTGGACACCAATGCCAAACTCATGTATGGTTAGCAAAGTTGTGCAATTTCCCATCTCTTACACTGGGTGGCACAATATAGCTGGAAATCTATCAAGTGTTCAAATGTAACCTAGAAAACAAGCAAACAGGAGGTCAGAGTCAACTGCTAGGGAAATGTTGAATAATTCTATTTTTAAACATCAGACAATTGCAAATATAAGCAGTTTCTCACATGAAGGCTTTACCAAAGAGAACAAGCTTGAAGGAATAATTCTCTGTCACATGAATTTTGTCCTGTACATGGGAAAAGAATCAACTGTTACACAGTTTCAGGTCTGAAAGAATACACAATCAACTGCTAAATAGAAAGTAGTCATGAAAAGAAACAAAATACGAAACATTCACCTTTCTCATGGCCTTTTTCCATTATATTTATTACAAAAATATTTCTAGTAATCTAAAACCCCCTACATAATGACTAATTATATATGGCTCCTTTCCAGTAGTTCCTGCAACAGCTCAGAAATGCTGGAATTTTAAAACATTTCATTTGAAAATTTGCCTCTGTAGGGTTGGGTGTAGAGACTGCAGTTGTGTAGAATTCCATCTTGCCATGTTTCCTATACACAAAGTACGAATATTGGGGGGTCTTCCCAACTTATCTTTTTGATGATAAGGGCTTTGGGGCTATAGTTTACCTCTGCTTTTGTAGTCCATGCACATAACGTGGCTCTTGTCTTAGATACCTGTGATAGAAAATGACAAGAGCAACACATGGTAGAGCAGTAGCCTTCAGATATGTACAGGAAGTAGGTAATGTATAGTATTTTGTCTCTGATATTCCTGTCAGATACATCATCATCTCGCTAGAGCCATTCTAGTTCCATCCTCTTTGCATATTGTGGGATAAGATACTGATCAGAAAGAACCACAGTCCTATGTCCCTGTGTACTTTTTCCCAAAGTCCCCTAAGCTACTTCGGACACCACCCATGATGCTACTGTGGACTAGTTCCTAAGCAGACTTGCACTTCACATCTCCTAGCATTCCTCCCTGATGTTTTGTCTTTTTCTATTTCTGAACAAATACCTTGTTGTTGAAAAGAAGTCAAGGTCTAAGTCAGGTCTAAGTGAAGATCTTGTGTTTGGAATTCAGCTGGAGAAGTACAAAACTAAAAAGAATGCACATTTTTTGTAATAGTCAAACCAAACCCTTTGGCATTTCAAAGGCAAAGGATATAGTTGTTACCTACATACAAAAAAGAATGTGTTCATCCTCTGTGTGTAAGGCTTTCAGGTTTTTTCATACATTTGTCCTATCAGAGCATCGTGGTTTGTTGGGTACAAACAGCCATACCCATATAAAAGCATACAAGCACCAGTTTCCTAGCCATGAGAATCTTCATGTCTGTATGGGGGAGGGGAAATGTAATAATTATCGTGTTTACAGAAGTTATTGATCTTCTTCTTTAGTATTTAAATACTTCTTTAGTATTAAATAAATAGTATTTGCTAACTACTATGCCCTCAAGAAAAATAGATATTAATCCTAAATGTCACTTTGGTTGAAAACTGAGGGGCCCATTACCTGTGGGAATAATGTAGAAAAATAAAAGCAATGGGAGATCTCTTGCATCTGTCTCTTCCAGATAAATATTTTTTATCTGGAATACAAATACAAATACAAAAAATACAGATAAAATACAGACAATTCCAGTGCACCCGTGGAATTGCAGACAAACGCATGACTGTATACTGTTAACTCACATTCCTTAATTTGTACTAGAAGGTCTGCCTATCTCAGAAAAAGGAGGTAGTTACACATAGATACAGGTAACTTCTGTTTTCTGAGGTTATTCTATGCATTGGTAGTTTTGATTTTGTAAACATTCTTATCTTGCTGTGCCTTGTAAAAAATCTCTGATTGTTGCCATCTGCAGTATCAGCTGAATGTCTGCTATAATGCTGCGTTAATAATACAGATTTCATCGTATTGCGGTCAGAATTCAATATCAAGCATGGATGAATCGCACCAGGAAAATACGTAAGCATAATCAAAAAAATCTGAAGCCTCCTCCATATGAAAGTGTGGCATTCTCAGTTGGCATTTCCGTGTGTTCTGATGGTCAGGCTGTTACTCATACTTGCATGCAGAATGAATTCAGTAAGACTTGGTTCAGCTCACTTCTTACGGTTTCTGAAAAAAACATGAAGTACCCTGTTACATGGACAGAAGATGTATTTGCTGGTTGAGCTTGAGGGGAAAACTGGGTACAATTATATATTCTTTTAATTATTCATGACTTGGGTCTGAAGTGAATGTGTATACATTTTTCACTTATTCACTTTATAAAATTCAAAACTAAGCCCAGGAGCAGTTTTATTCTTGGCAGAGTGACAAGTTTCCTTTCCTCAACGAGCCAGTCAAAGGAATTGTTCCTCAGAGAGTTTGTCATCCTCACGTATCCCAGAGAGTCTGGAGGGGTCTGGCATTCATTACACCCCCCATCACACATAGGCATGTGCACTCTCTCCATCTCTAACTGTGACAACAAGCCCATCTCAGAGGACTGTGTTTATATCCAGCATGTGGCTTCATTTGTGTAGCTGATTTGCAGTTCATTAATCTAGAAAGCCTTGCCCAATTCTAGTAAGGACAGTGTATCCATCCATATTCCACTTGCTTTCCCCAGTGCAACACGCAGTTTAGATGGGGAATTTGCTCTGTTTTGTGGAAAAAAAAATAGAGCAAAAGCAGCTCAGGATGCCAAAGCTGATGTAAACATACATTAGGAAATTGTTTTGATCTGGCCTATCAGGCTGCTGGCAATGCACTGTGCTTCCTTGGGAGACATGCAAATTTATGGGACACAACTTGACATGATTAAGGCAATGCATACAGAAGAGGTAATTGCCCTTCGGCAAGAGAATTATGTCTAGAACCAATGATTCTTTATGTTCTTGGCAGTGCAGGTAGGATCATGAAATGAGGGGCCTCTTGCAGGTTCACAATAATTTAGGTGTTGGGTTGGGTATTTTTTTAAGCTATATTTTTTACAGCTTTTATGGTTGTATTACTTTAGTTGTTTGTCTTGCAGGGGAACCTAAGGACAACAGTCAATTTGTAGTTTTGAAAACCTAAATCTGTATCTGTTGATACTGTCATAGCTTATGATAGCTTGTAGAGTCTGGAAACAACCACTACCACCAAAATAACAAAAATCCAGGAGTTAAAATAATGCTACAAGGAGGCATCAACTTCTGCTGTTCATTCACAGCAGTGAGGTTCTTCACTTTGAAATTTCAGAGTCTTTAACTATCACAGACAGTAGCACTCCTTGTTGACAGACATGTGCTCAGAACACCTCATGCCTGGGTGGAGCCAGATTCAACTTGTGCCAGGGTTAATGTGAAATTACTGATCACTGCTTGGGAATTTGGGGGTAAGAATGGCTGAACTTAAGGTGAAAGACTCCATATCCTATTACTACTCCCCTGAGTCAGCCTAGCAAATAGCTAACTGTAATATCTTAATTAACTGTGTGTTAGAATCAACCTTATTCTCCCTTGCAAGCTGCACACATTGCTAATTAGATTAGGTAAGCGCACAAGAACACAAGGGAAGCAAGCATTAGTGCTGCAGTGGGACAGTTAGATTTCCCATCGTACTGTAGAGTAAGGCAAGGCTGGTGGCACTGGGGTGATGTTGAAATGGCAGCCTTTAATTTAATGCAAACATAAGGATAAGGAAAACCACACTCTGTACGTTGGAGAACATTACCCTTCCAACCTCCTGGACAAAACCGGCGCAACAGACACAGGAGGCTGGCTTTGCATTCCTTTCCCCTGTTAAGTTTGGCAAAGGAAGAAATTAGCAGCACAAAGTGTGTAGCTCTGGAAGCTATCAGCTCTCATACACCTACTACACAGAGAGCCCCCAACAGACGTGTTGTGCTGCTTTGCATGCCCGTGAGCCCATGTCTCAGCGTTGCCTTGCTGCGCTGAGCGCACAGTGAGAGGGAGGAGGAAGTGTGCTTGGAATGTGTGGTACTCTGCTGCGCACAGCTGTCATATGATTCATCAGGGACCAGTACCATCTGGTACAGATGAGAGCCTATCATGTTACACAGTGTCTTTATCAGAAATAGGGACTTGGAAGAACACAAAGCTACAGTGAGTTTGCTGGTGCAAAAACCTCACATGAAGAGCCTGAACGCTTCCCAGAAATCACATTCTCCAGTTTGTCCCATGCAGAGTTGATAAATACCTGATTATCTAAGTTCTGCTAGTTGGATAAAACTTCTTAAAGTGTGTAATTTCTTGTGCTCTTTTAAATTAACAAAATACAGCCCCACAGTCCTTTTTAGAGTTAAAAAGCTTGAAACTTGTTTTTTTCCATCCCTCTCCATCAATACACTATTTCTTTGACGTTTCTTCCACTGGTACCTGTAATTTTCTTCTTTAAATTCTTTTTTGGTTCCCTGTTGTTTTATGTATTAAATGCATTTTTTTGAGGTAATTCCCCTCTAAGCATTCTCTCAGTCCCTGTTCCTTCATCTCAAAGCTTTTATTCAGTTAAAATACTTAGAATTTGTCCTAGCCATTAATTTTAATTTTCAAACAGTATTTTTTAAAGATTAGCTAAATTAAATCATTTTTGCAATTAGTGTCAAATTAATCCATAATGGAAGGTGGATAACAGCAGGAGATAGAGTCTCTTAGATTTTGACAGATACCCTCATTGGGTTTAATGTTTTGTATAATATCTCCTTAAGTGAGCAAAGAGCTTGCTTCGATGACTTCCTTCCCTCACATCTATGCTGCTGTCCACAGAGAACTAATATCTTTGACTATGGGGAAAACTCTCTTCTTACATCTCTGGATTCTGAGGGGGAGTATTGTTAACACCGGTTATCTTAGAAAACATTTTTTGCCCTTTTCAGGCCTGATCTCTGGCACTTAATAGGTGAGCACTTGATAGGTGAGGGTTGCTGAAGCTCCATGGATTGTAACATACAAAGATTACCACAAAAAAAAAAAACAAACCAACCAAAAAACTTAATTTCATAGAGATAGGTGAAAAAGCAGCCAAATAATCATTAACTAGTGGAAATCAAGGAATAGTGATCTTCAGTAGGCAGACTAATGGAGAGAAGGAGGCTGGAAATGGGATAATGAGACCAGTCATCTCAGGAATAGGGTCTGGATCAACAAGAGCTGGGTCTGAACATACCTCACTATCTTAGGACTTTGTCACTGAGACTGAATCAAATAAAAGGAAGCAAACACACTGGTACTTACCAGTGGCTCATTTGAGTGTTTGGCTCTAGACACATCTGTGCCCAAAGTGCTTTAATTTGCTGTACCTGATTCTAGGCAGGCCTTCAGCTCTGACCTAGGATTGAACTCTGTGTGACTTTCTCTGATGATTAAATGCTTACTCCTGTCTGCTCAGGCTCCTCAGACACTTTCATTTTCTCAGACAATTTTCTTTTTTTTTTTTAAATAAGCAGGGACATGTGTGTAATGGTTCATTTATTCTGGCATCAGGTGGCATCACTTGATTAAATGATTGGTTTACGCCAAAACTTCTTTTTGTACCTTATCTGGCCTACCTGACTTCAGTGACTGTTTTGTTTAAAGCAGTAGTGTGTTAAGAATTACTGAGCTTCAGGAATAGATGAAGAATTTCATAAAAAAATCTCTGAAGTTTGAGAAGACAAGTAAGTAATTCTGCTGGAGTGAAATCCATTCAGAGTTATTTTTTACTCATTTTGGATGAACTTCTCTTGCGTATTCTGTAAATGTATTTTGGCCTTGGTCATATCCTACAGGTCTAACAAAATTCTCATAGAACACTAGAGCTGGTGAATGAAAACCAAACCACCCCCTTCCCCAACTCCAAACATCAGCTACTGTCATCACAAGTAAACATATAAACTTTGAGATCCTAGGGTTAAACACATAGGATACACATGGGTAAAATTAAAGAGCCGAACTCTTAAACTAGAGATAGTGAGACCTTCAGCAAGCAAACAAGATTTTACCTTCCTGCATGCCTAAGAGCACCAGTTTCTCATGCATCTTGGCTGCCGCTGCGTTGCTTGTTGAAGTTACCAAGCCTAGCTGCGCCTTCATGGCAGCAGCTTCACAACTGGCTCTTTTCTTCTATAGCTTATAGCCTATTTTAGCAGCAAAAGTTGAAAACTGTGGCAATTCAGACTCAATTATTACATTATTAGGTTAACGAGCTAAAGCTGGTTCTGCTGGCTCTGCCATGGAGGCAGTAAGAGAACAAGTGCTTGGAAGAAGCACTCATGAATTGGAGATAATGAAACACTTTTGGAATGCCTTTGAAATTAAGTCTGACATGCAGGAAATCTGTGTGTGATTTTCAGTTTTGCTCTTTTCATTACCTTGGCCAAGGATGATTGCAATCTAAGGTTTGGTTCCTTGCGACCCCAATTCATAAAGAAACTGTCCAGATTATAAATTCTTCTGAGCAAGGATGATGTTAAGCTGTTATTTTTGCACAGTGAGGCCTTGGCTTTATCTGGAGCTACTTAATGGTACTGTAATAGAAATCAGCAATACCAAACTATTGATTTAGGGATCATTTAAATTCAGTATTAATCGTGTTTGTTCAGCTGTAGTGGGCGTATGAACCTCACAAATGAAATAATACTCCCAAGTCATTGAAAATCCTTCTATGAATATCCTCTGTAATATTTAAGCCTTTCAATTACTTAATGTTGAGCTGAATGTGAGCTCTGCAATGATTAATGAGATCTCTGAGAATGGGGATGTCTCCCTCACGTATTGTTACCTTGTAAAGTTTGCACCTAAATGCTTCCAGAGACCTAATTATCATTGGTGGGTACCAGCCTGTTCTCTCACAGACCTACTGTGGATCTCAAGTTCAACAGAAATAGGGAAGATAAAAAATGGAGATATAAGCACAGCATTTTGCAGTCAGTGGTCACATACAAAATTAAATCAGTCCTATTTTTGGCTACAATACTAGCAAGGAGATTTTTCCTGTGAAAGCAGAACTGAAAAGCCTTTGCATCACTGCTACTGACTGTAGGTAAGCAAAAAATCAATGCAGATTTGGCTAAAGGTGGCTTTTGTTAGATTCATGGTCAAATAAAATGTGAAAAGCTCTGTTACACGTGATAACGTTGGGGCATTGTAGACACCATAAGAAAAAAAAAGGGAGTAACAGACTTGTCTGTTGCATTCCAGTCTTCAGTTTATTCCCCAACATACAAAAGGATTGAACAGCCCAGAAAGAGTCTTCTACAATGGAGCAATCTGGAATATTGCCCTGAATTTCCAGCAGATTTACAAACTGCCATTGCTAAATATAAGTCATCAAGATTAAAAAAGAAAAATCATTTAGCCAGAGCTGTTGTCAAGTCACTATTTAATGTTACTTTTTGTATTTGCTGTGATAAGCACTAAAATTTGCACACTCCTTGATAAATCATTGTTTAGCAGTGTCTAAAGGGTCCAGTAAATGGTTTGAAATTGCCACGGTGTAATAAATGGTTATTTGATAATGAATGAAATTGTTTGAAAATACTGTTAAGATGTCAGGTTTTAACATATAGAGCATTAGTCAGAAGGAGTGCAAACATGGAAACCATAGTGACACTATAAATATACCGCAACAAATGCATTTATTTGTACAGGGCAAATAGGAGGTGCTGTATACAAACCAGTATAAATTGATATATGAAGTTAATTTCAATCTGTAAAAGTAATTGCATTGGTTTAACTTATTTAACTCTCCTTACAATAATATTTATAGCAGAGCAAGAAAGTAAAGAAATAAATGATGATAAATAGATAAAATACATAGGAAATGGGAATTGTTTTCCAGTTTAATTACGCTGTCACATAAAATTATCACAGAAATACACTATGCCGACAAGGAGAATACATTAAAATCCCATTATACCATGCAGAGCTGGCTAGCTTTTGTTGCTTTTTATTCCAAAAACAGCTTTTCATCTTTTCAGCTACATGAAAAGTTAAACTTTGTAAAAAAACTACAGCAGTGCAAAAAAGACAATATGGGCTATGCCAGTTGAGGGTTAGCCTGTAGCACAAAGCTGGGAAGCAAGAATGTGGTACCCCTCTCTTCAAGAATAAATCTGACCATGCAGTAAAATTTGAAGGGGAAAAAAAAAAATCCTCACCCAGAATAAGTAATTTTCATTCTTTCTTCCTTGGACACAAGGAAACTAACTGGAGTGTTTCTGTGTGGCTGTAGCCTCTATACATCCTGTGGTGATGGGACACTATTATAGCTACAGTAAGAGCAAAACATTATAATAACAGAGCATTTGTTTTCCTCTCACAAGTCAGGTATTTGTGGTTTCAAACTGAAGTCAATCTTATCATTTCTTGTCATGATGAACAGCATTAATGTGTGTGGTGTTTTTTATCCTTCTGCTTTCCTGGGTCTTGGCCTGAACACAACATGGCAGCCTCACCAGAGGCAAAAAGGTTTAGAACAGTGGAAGTTTAGTTTGCTTAAAAACTGCTCAGAATATAAGAACACCAGAATGCTCTGGTCAGTACTAATAATACGGCTACATTATTTTGACCCCTCAATTATATCATCAACCTTGCTGTGTTTTTAAGTTTGCAACTTCCAAAGCTGTGTGATTAAGCAGGAGTTTGTGCTTTAATTAAAATAATATTACTCTTTAGGATTCCAGTAAAAATCTGGAAAGTAGGATTCTTCAGAGACTTCAAATTCAGAGGGAAATGTTTCATATAGACTTCATTAATTTTTAAGATCTTATTATTTCTAAATCTACTTCATATTTCTTTAGCATCCAACTGATGAGATTTGATCACTGAGGATAAGCAAAAAATACTGCTTTAAGTAGAAAGGCAATCTCTAGAATATGGAATACCTGTGAAGAGAATACTATGTGCAAACTGAAACCCCAAAAGATAAGGCAGCTTCCTGTACGAGATGAGATTTAGGTCACCAAAGATATTCCTAGTACTTGTCATCCTTGTATCAATTAAATGAATGGACTTGTTCCAAAACTTTATTCCACCTCTTTAAAATTATGTGTATGCTGCAAGAACGATTTTTTTAAGCTGTCTATTGCTACAAGAGAAGCTGTAACTAAAGGAAGCTATCATTGCACTGCAGAATGGATCATTTATAACACACAAAAATGGCCCGTTATTTACAGTTCTTATTAAAAAAAAAGTGAACGTGGAATGCATTCAGATTTCAGCAGTTGCAATACTGTTAACTTGCCTTCTATCATTATGAAGGCATATAAAGAGATACAGCTACTCCTAAGGAACATTTCTTTTAGGTCTTGTCCTTTATAAATGTTGCCACTATAATTTTTGCTTGGAAAGTTGGGTTTAAACAAATTCAAAATGAAACTGGACCAAAATTAAATCTCAGCTGTTTTCAGCAAGAACCATGAACCTGGCTTTTATGGCTTTAATTTGGAGGCTCTCTGTGAGATTTGTACTCTTGCAAACATTTTAGTAAAGGTAAGGGGAGAAAGCCAATGGATAGTGAGGTATCAAATTGCAGACCAGCACTGAGCGCTGGCGTGAATTGTCTTTATCCTATTGAAATAATTTATTTTTAGTTTTATCTTTCTATGAAAGAGGGACAACATTCAGAATCTTTGCAACAATGCTTTTGGGCTTAAGATTGATGCACACTTTCACACACCTTTTTGGGATGAAGTACTGTTTGAGCTGATAATAATGATTAACATTAGAAGTATTACTGTAATAACAAGTAACAGTGTTTGTTACCAGCACACATACACACATACTAGGTAAAAAGAGAACTAATTACATTTATTGGACTGAGTTATTAGTAGTTTGCTTCATGCAGGACAACATTTACCATTAAAACTGTACAGAAATATTCCACAACAATGTCGTAAATTCAGAGTCATCCTGTGGAGTCATTTGCACTTCCTTCCTCCTTAATTATGGCTTCTTGGACTCCAGTCTGTTTTCAGTGGAGTCAACAGAAACACGACAGGAGCAGACTTCAGGTCCTGTGGCCACAGATGAGATTATGAAAATCACAAACTTCTAGGAGCAAACTGAGGTTTCACTTGAACTTCCTGCAGCTGTGGTTTTGTGCCTCCTCAACTGAGCATAAGTGTCTGGGCATAAGAGAAATAACACTTACTTTTAAAAGCATTTTCTAAGATCTGTATTTGTTACCATCACATGGGAGGGTGTGATGCTTCTTTCAGTTATATCTTACACATGTATACCTTTGCAAGAGAAGCATAGAGACTCATCTCTGAACATACTCAAACCACAAAGAACTAAACAGAGGTATAAATCTATTTCTCTTGCTAGTTTTTAAATTTTCTAGAAAATTAAACTATATATATACAGAATCAAGAATTCCTTACAGGAAGGGAAAGGTGCTTGTGAGGGTTGGGGGAGGTTGTTTAGGGGAAAATAAATCAGGAAATTCTTCACTGACAAGTATCACTGTAACAAAACAAAAAATTGTTATCTTCTGCAGTCAGATCCAGAACTGAGTCTTTAAAATTGAGGAACTTGTTATTCCTAGAACAATCCCTCCACACCGTCACTGAAGCAAAACATGGAATACCTGTTTTTCCAGCTTGTACTGAAAGTTGCCCTCAGATCTCCAGGGTAGCCTGTCCTGCATGTGAAGTGTCTGTGCCAAATCTAGGAGAAAGTAGAGGAGGTAAGTGACTCAGTATGTCTGTCAGTGAGCGTGCTGTAAAACAGGGGGGTTTACCACCTTTGGGACATCTGTGTGGTAACTAGGACCCAAAGCAGCGCCTTAACTCAGTGGGATATTTAATTGCATAACCCAGTCACAAGCAGAAGGGCCATTGCTGTGCTTTAATCTCACTGCTACCTGATGAATCACAGCCAGTGCAGTGATTTGTGTGTGTGATGTTGTTCAGCCTGTATAGGTTGCGTCAGTCCTGCTGTGTCTGAGCATTTCCAGTCCATGGCTTCCCTTTGCCACAGGCTGGCAAGGCATAATGTGCCTATAATATTGTCTTCTGGTTTGTCAGCTGTGCATTGATTAAGATACAGATGAGCCATATGCTAGTGAACTAAGCTGTTAAATGGATTTTTGGGAAAGTTTGGCTGTAAGGAATTCTGCAAGTGCCAGCTCAGATTTTCCTTTGAACTGCATTAGCCATAAATATGGATTATTCCTGTAGGTCCTATATATGGAGAATTCCATCTGCTTAAAGGTTCAGCAGCAAAATGTGAACATAATTATTTCCCAGCCAGATAAATGAGTCACTTTAGTAGAGACATTCTGACCGTGTGCCTTAGTCAAAGTGTAGAAAAAATTAAATATTTCCTTCCCTGTCTGCTTGACATTAGACAAATATATGTACCTACATCTACATGATAGACACACACAAAACAGCACAGCTTTTGACAATTTCACTCTGGTCATTCTGTTTGAATAGCAAACCAGCAAACTGTTTCCTAGACAAAAGGATAATCCAATTTCATTGCTAAAATCTAAAGTGAATTTAGTGTTTCCTACTATTTTTGAGTAACTGCTATCTGAAAGTATTAATTTATGAATATTACTGAGTAGGTGACCACTCAGTGCTTAATAGGAACTAGCAATTAGTGCATGTAAATCAACTAAGACAGCAGCATCTCAATTGCTGTTCTGCATAAAGGAATGGTTAATTTGTAGGAATACATGTTTCCAGCCCAGATTTTAAAAAGTCACGTTTTCCACTGCTGAAAACCTCAATACCCACAATATTTGTTGTGCATTTTATGATTATTCTTAATGCCCTTGCAAACATCTGTAATAAAATGCTAACAAACCATCATCCATTACTTAATTATGTTTATCTAGACAGATAAAGTTGGGGTGGGAGAAGCCTGTGGTAAAAAAGTATTGTTTTCTATTTGGCAAAGACAGGCTAAATTTACAGCTTAATTATTCCTTGTAATGCTGTGGAGAGATTTTCCTGTTCATCACACATGGGTCCAGAGTTGATTTTCAAAAAACTCCAACCAAAAAGAAAAAAAAAAACCCCAAACAAAAAATGCCCAAAATGGTTCTGGATTTTTTAATTTTCTTTTTCTTTTGTAGTGAGGTTTAACAAATATGTTGACTCCCACTTAAATCAACCTCCCCTCCAGCAGGGGATTTAAATGGTTGCGAGGCTTCACTGGGAACTACACAGGGAACTTCTCTTGACAGTGATGAAACACCTTCTATAGGGCAAGAAAAACATCTGGGAAAATAATGTTATTGTTGCCTTGAGAAACTTTGCCTATGGAAAATATCAGGATAATTCATCTTAATTAATAAAAGTACCTCTATGTTTCAGCAACCAAACACAAGAAAAATAGAAGTCAGTTCCAGAAACCTTTACTCTTAAGAGTATCTCACTAAATTCCAAAAGATGGCTTGTGTGTACAGTGATGCCCGCATGGTTAAAGACTGCAGTTTATCTCTAGATGCTCCATGAGATCTTTTTAATTTGAAATCTTTAAATAGCGATTTTTCAAAGGCAAATCCGTGCCAATCACCATGGGACCACTAGACATTAAAAGCAGAATCAGAATCATCTTGTAACAAAATTGACTCTTCGTGCAAAGATAGCCTAGGAAGTGCTTACTGAGAAGAATCATCAACCAATATTCATAGTATATTTATTCTTTGGCAGTAACTGGGCAAAATATTCATTGCAGTGAGTAGTTTATATTAAAGCCAGTCACACTGAACTTGTACAGTAACCCATGAAAATATCTCCTTTTAATGTGATAGCTTACCATCTTCATAGTCATAAGATAAATTTGTACATCAGTGCATTTGAAACAGACAAAAACATTGGCAAAAGATTGCCAGATCCATCTTGGCTGTAGCCAGCTGTGGTTGGATTAACTTTTGTGTTAAATAGCTAATAGATTGCTTTCTGCTAAGTATTTAGAAGTACATACTATGAAGAGTTACGTACCTTCCAAACTTGGCACAAAGCCTGCTTTTGTTACATGAACACAAAAACCCCATGCCAACATTTTAAAGGGTGTCTGAGTTCTGGATATGCATTAATGAAGTATTTGTCCTTATATTTTTTCCCTAACATTTTCATGTTTTTTCCAGAGATGGGAGTAAGCTGGAGATGGTTAAGCATGGGCAAGAAAAGTAAGAAAAAGATGCTTTATTTACAAGGGTTGACAACCTGTTCAGCAAACGTAATCTGAGTAGAAAAAACTTAATCCAAAACCCAATCCACAGATATTTTTGCATAGATTTAACCTATACTACCAGATCATTTATATAAACTACTTGACTATTTGCCCTCCATTTTCTGGACATCGGTGTAGTTCTGAGGTAGTCTATTATGAAATGTTAAACAACTACCTGCATTAGTAGTTCTTGAAGACATCTTTGTGTTTTAACAGGCCATAAGAAAAATAGCCAGGGAAGTTTTTTTCTGTCTCCAAAAATAATCTGTAAGAAGCAAAACAAATATTTATTTCCATGGTTCTCTACAGATCATCACGTTGCAACGAAGGATCTGTAACAGCACAGAAATAATAATCAATACTGAACAGTCACACCAACGTACGGACAGAAAAGGGTGTGATTTGAGGTTTTTTCTAATGTTGTCACAGCAGCAAAAATTTGGGCATCCATGGAGATAGCAACTTACAGTGCTTTCAAAGGTGCTTTTGAGACTTAAGAGACCTGTATTTCCTTCAGGTGAATTAGCTGTATCCACGTAAAACATACCAGGCCCTAGCCACTCAAGGGAACTTGTTTTACTTTTCTTTAAATCATTATAAAGCAGCAGTAGCTTTTTTAAAATTGTTTTTTTTATCTAGAGCCATGCCCTAAATGAGAGCTGCTTTTTACAGCACAAGTGGTTTAATGCATTTTCTTAAAACAGCAGAAGAAAATAGGAAATCAAACTTCTCTTATTCTGAGAAGTGAGCTTTCAGGAGAACTGCTTATGATACCGGATGATAGCGTATGTGTTGTTAGGAAATGTAGAAGAAGAAAGATCTGGAATCATTGACATTAAGGATGCCATGTATGGATTTGAAGCTTTTGAAACTCAATGCAAGGTACACTGCTCAAAACACAGAAGCCATTTCAAAGCCTTGAAAGAAGTGCTAAAAGACAGACAAGTTTCAGCAAGACCAAAAATATCAAAGTCATTACTGATCGTATGTTCCCGTCAGACGAAAGCCTTTCCAGACACTGATCCAATATTAAACACAAGAACAGTCAGAATTGGCCAATAGTAAAATCTGTAATAGAAAATTCAGAGACCTGTAACTTAACACTTTTTTAAACCTGACCTGCAGTCCCTGACAAACTGGTCAAAACCAGTTAAAACAGTTCCTCCTTCTCTGAAGGAATGAGCTTAATACATGAAATGAGGAAAATGCAAACCTTTAATATGTTAATATGAAATGCTGACTCTTTGTTCCCCAAGTTAAGTAGGTGTTCAGCCAACCTTATTTAAGTCATAGGAATGATAATTAGGGTCACTCTTCAAAAAGCTCTTAATCACATGCTCAAAGAAGTCGATAGCTTGAAATACCTGTCTAAGCACTTCCCTAAAGCGGGCCTTACCGGGTGAAATTTAACATATAATGATCACATGGAAAGTATCAGAATAATTTCATGCCTATTGATAGTCCAAACACAAAGTCTCATTTCTCACTCAGTTTCCACACATAGAGGATTTCATTTAACTATGGGGTTCCTGGTAATAGTTGCAATTTTTCAGCTGATGACATTTGCATCAAAAAGCTTCTGAAATGTCATTCAGTGCATGTGATATCTTAGAAAACCTGTTTGAAAATGCTATACAATCCCAGAATATTAGAGCATCTCCTTTGAATGAACATGAGCTATTGGGAAAAGAAAGTAATACTGTCCTGGGTTCAGCAGTAGCAGTCATTTTTCCCCTTCTTGGTAGCTGGTGCAGTGCAGTGTTTTGACTTTCAGCTCGGGAACAGAGCTGATAACAAGCGATGTTTTGGTTTGGCCAAGGACTTTGTGAGCCTCATGCTCTGCCAGGGAGGAGGGGAAGCCGGGAGGAAGCAGAGACAGGACACCTGACCCAAACTGACCAAAGAAGTATTCCATACCACAGCACGTCATGCCCAGGAGGTAACTGGGAGTTAGCCGGAAGGGCTGGGGGACTGCAGGGTTGGAGGAGGTATCGGTCGGAGCTTGGTTGGGCCTGGGGGGCGAGTTATTGGTCGGCTGGTGGTGAGATGATGTATTCTCTTCCCTTGTTATTTCCTTTATCATTATTATCATTGGTGGTAGCAGTAGTGATTTGTGTTATACCTTAGTTACTAAACTGTTCGTATCTCAACCCGTGGGAGTTGCATTCTTTTTGATTCTCCTCTCCGTCCCTCCGAGAGCAGGGGGAGGGCAAGAAAGGGGGGGAAGTGAGCGAACGAATTACCTGACTGGGTTTAAACCACGACAAATACCAACTAGGATAAAAACCAGCTTCTGCAACATTTCAAAGTCTCATAAACATTTTCCTGGCAGATTTAAAAGGTAAAATCTGTTAGGTTTGTATTGATGATATAGTCATTTTCTCTTGGGACCTGGATCAGCATTTAGCAAATACAACAGCAGTGCTCTGATTATTACAGTCTCTAAGCTTAATTCTAAATCTTAAAAATGAAAATGCTACAGAATACAGATTACATCATCTGTAGCACATTTTGTCAAAACCAGACCGGCTGCAGATCACATAAGCTGGTTTTGTTTGCATGTTTCCCATGCCCTGAAATATGAAGCAAATCCAGTGGTCTTGGTTTTACAAATTGGTATTACCTACATACTGTAGTTGTCTACCTTTGAAGAGCGTCTTAATAACATCATGGGGTAAAGAAAGGAAAAGCACTCGACAGACAGATGAGCATACTAAAAACTCTTTAAAATTGTCCAATTAATAATCTTGTGAATAAGGCCTGTGTGTTAAACGCCTGCTTGTACAATGCTACCTGAAGGCACATTTATCAGACCAGTGAGAATTTTGTTTCAGTATCACGATACCTATCAGAAAACATTTGCTCCCCAAACTGTTCTGATAAACACTACATAATACAGTAACACCATAAATAAAATCCATCAAGAAATCTGTGAAAGAAAAGGTGGTCATACATTTATAGAATCCAATCACTGCTGCATAAATTAATTATATCAGTGGCAAATAAAACCCCAAGCAAACACAGAATTTCCTTTAATAAAAATATCAGAGCCCACAGTTATACACTTAGTTTGGGGTTTCCAAAACTTTTCAGTATTATATTGACTGCTGTTGAAGTCAGTAACTGGCTCAAGGGAGACAAAGGCCCTAGGTGCTAGTGTGGAGTTTGGACAGGTTCGTCAAGTTTTTAGAAGGGGCATTATTTCATTAGGAAATGTCAGCTTAGTGACATGAAAATACAGTGTTACATGCAGGACAGCTTGAGCTCTCAGAGGGCAACCAGAAACCCCAAATGTGTTCAATTTGTATGCTAAAACAAATGCCACACAACTGGAATACCTGTGTGAGAGGCATATTGCCAACTATGAAAGAATTACTTTGTAAATAAAATGGAGGACAAAAAACCAGCATCTCTTTTACCAGTGGGGAGAACAATGACGTAGCACGCATCAAAACTTTATGTCCATTGACTGCATCTAAACATTAGATCACAAATAAAGTTATCTTTGTACAGCCAATAAAGAATAACACCTTTCAAGCGTGATAAACAAAACGGAAAACTTCTTTTGTAAAAGATAGTGGCAGTGAACAACTTTTTTTTCCATCTTTCAGCAGCGCTTCATGTCATAAAACACAAGTATGTTTCATGGACCATTGAAAAGCTGTAATTTTGCCAAAGATGTAAATGTATTTCCTTTAAAAATGAATTCTACAATCTTAATATGATCCAGAATATTTCATAAATCATATTATTTGGCAACTGAAACTTATCAAATGTGCAGGGAAACCTGTCTGTAGGAAACTGACGTACTGACCACATACATTTTAAATAGCTGTGATGGCTTTTATTTTAATGGCTACTTTAGAAATGAGAAGGTGATAAGCAATAATTTAAGGAACAGCACATGCACCAAAAATTGCAGGCTGCAGCTGTTCATAATGTGTGAGTAAGTCAGTGTCTGCCCCAGAACCACAGTGAGTGTCTCCTTCAAATTTCAGTGCACTGTTTTTTCCTCAGTGGAAATCATGTGAACATGGGTTCTTCCAACATGCAGTAATACTTCTGCTGCTGCCTATTTTATAATCAAAGAACTGGGTATTTTCATTTCATTTAAATTATAATGACCATTGGGGAGCGGGTAATAACGTCTATTTAAGTTTAATGGGATGTGCCTCATATCAATTCACCTGATCTGTTCTAGAGCTGGATTTGTTAGTCCATTTAAGGCAGTCTGAAGCTATTAGGATAAACCACTTTGCCTGTACCCTTTAGGTAGTAAGTCTTCCAGTGAGATCTGGTGGACCAGAGACTGCAGGCTGGGCTCTCAGAGAAGCAATCCAGAATTTAAATCACGGAAAAGGGGACTCTGTATCACATACTTAAACATTGTGACTAACACATGTATGCTTATAATCAGACACCCAGAAGTAGTATGAAGATTAAATTCAACATCACATACAAATTGAACTCACTCCCACTTCCTGAATTTCCATCTGTCTTAAAGATACAAACGGTGCTTGTGCCATTCCCTCACTGGTAATGAACTTGGGCTTACCTGGATCTCTGGAGAGGTTTGGTTTCTTCATTGTCAAAGGACCTGGATCTCTGGAGGGATTTGGTTTATTTTCATTGTCATTGTTCATTGACTACAGCAACTTTAAAAAAACCCAAAGACAGCAAAACAACATTAACAAAGTTTAACATTCAAAGCCTGATATACACTCAACTTACAAACATTCCTGCCTGCAGTCCTGGACATCACCTGTTGTGTTTCCACTCCTGGTCTTCATCACAGAATAAAAGAGTAAGCCATTGCTCTGATAAATCCTACTAAATTGAGCTAAACCCGTTTTGTTATTCTAGGTCTGGATTAAAGGCTGATACACCACAGGGCGGCTCAATGCTTTAGTTTAACCCTAGACTTACAGCCACATTTTTGCTGAATTAAAAATGAACACTACATTATACACTAAGGCCCCAAGCAAGTTTTATTTACAGAATAAATACTACATATGGCTTTAACAAATTCTTGTCTAATTGTATTGGTGTTACATGACACACATCTGGGCTGTGTTTTTACATTTCCTTGCTCTGTGGAATGGTCATACTGGATACTAGTAAGAGCAGAAGCTGGCATAATGGGACTTTCTGCTTTTTATAGCAACTCAATATATGTTACTAAAAAAGGTGAGTAGAGCATCTTAACTCTCAAATGCTATTGAGAGACATAGCAAATTTATTGACTAATTCAATCTACAGTAATGGAAGGTGTGATTCAGTGCTTGCAAACAGATACAAATAGTAGGAAGCTTAAGTGGAAACTTAAATATTATCATCAGAAAAAAGTATGGTAACAAATATTTTTCACAGTCTACAGTAAGATTTTTAAAGTAAGATTTTAATTTATAGGGCTGTATATCTAGAATGTCTGTTTTGGTGTGGTCTTGTCTCAGTCCTTTGCTCCTGCAACAGAGTTCACGCTATCACATATGAGAGAGATGACATTTGGATTTTCCAGTACTTTCAGAACTTGGAATGCTGAGGTCTCCCTGCCTTCCAGTGCGATTCACACATTCGTGTGAGCATGGCGGGTGAACAGAACATAGCCCACAGTTGTGGTTAGAGCCTGGAATTTTTAACTTGCTAAGGTTCTACAGTAAAGACTGAATGTAACTGCTCACTTCAGGTGTGATAAACTTAGAATCAAGGCAGGGAAAAATATTATCTGCATTTGAGTGATTTGCACAAAACCTCACAGAGAAAAAGCGTCCCATCACTGTCAATGGAATGAATACTCTATCAAAACTGCGGTCGCATTCTCGTCTATTGAGATTAACTTTACCAGCTGAATGTTGTGAAATTTATTTCAGTGGCCTATGACCACCATATATCAGCATCCGACCCCTATCTATATAAAACAATAAGCATGAGCTTAAGGCTGTCTTAAAGGCTGTCTGAGAGATGTATATTTACTGACATATAACCTGACTAAAGCCAAACATCATTACCCCTGTGACTGATTGGAGGGCAGCCGTAACTGAACAGTTTTATTTCCCTTCTACAGCTGAGCTCCTTGACCATGCTAGCTGAGCTGACACGGCATTTCAAGTCCTGTTATCAGATCAATGGTTCTCTTATTAAAAACAGGGGGGCCGCAGGGGGAGGGGAGACTGGAGAAGAAAAAGCAAAAGCACCTCTTCATTTAGTCTCTCCATCTTGATCATTGCTGATGGGCTATCAATAATTTCAACTTGGTTAAGCAACTGGCTGAAGGTTAAATAAATTCTGCATGGCTGTTTGCATGATCATGCCCAAATTCACAAACTTCAATCTGAAGCAGGTTTCTTTCTGGCTGCTTCTTGGGAAGTTCTCATATAGCCAAAGGCAGGCTAGAAAAGAAGTTACTTTTGTGGAGAAGCACAAGAACAAAATTCAAGTTGATGTGGCAAAGCAACCACACTTTGCTATTTCTGCAAGGAAACCTAAAGGAATAGTAAAGGCTTCATGTGTGTATAGATACAGGCATACACCAGTTTAGATGAGGACAGCAGGAACAGAGGTCACCCGAAATCCTCCAGTCAGAAGGGTTTTGCCCAACTGCTTTAATAGATTGTTACAGTCTCAGAACGGCTATGCACTGATTCATGAATGAATCACGATTTTAAAGGAAAATTAAATGGGTCATGCCGTTTTGCCTGCAATGTGTTCAATTACCCTGCGCACTACTATTTTGACACCCGGAGAATTATTTACAGCATGCACAACTACCTATGTGTCTCAGCCAGTGTGTGTACTAACAAGCTGTTAATAATGCATTCTGTGGATTCAGCATTCCTCTTTCTTGCATCAGCTTTTATTTAAGTATTTACTTCTTGGGAGTATTCCTGTTTTCAGTACAAGAAACTCCAAGCTCAAAATGAATCAGATACACATGCTCTCACATTTAGCTGCAGTAGGGTTATTTTGGAACAAGCACACTCCTCATTACTGAGACACCAGGAGAATGCACATGGAAATTTGTCTAAAATAATCAGAATAGTTAGTGACTTAAATAGGAGGTGGTGTCCTGCTAAAGAAGGAAGAGAATTATGTTTTGAAGACTCACATAGCTGCTTTGCCTCACACAGGTTTAAGTGCATAGACTACTTTTACACAGCACTTGATTTTTCGTAATCACATTACCTGCATTTTCAGTAGCTTGCTACTGGAAGGCAGTGAACTAGTTTAGAGAGAGAAGTCAGATTCAGGTCACAAATCTTGAGTTCAAGAACATGCCCATATATAGTTTGTCCACGCAAGTGCTTTGAATTGCTTCCTTCAGCTTTCACAGTTGGATGAGAGAGGCTCTTCTTGTTCAGTCTGGAGAAGGCTCCATAAGGGGAGACCTTAGAGCACCTTCCAGTGCCTAAAGGGGCTACGAGAAACCTGGAGAGGGGCTTTGGACAAAGGCCTGTAGGGACAGGACAAGGGGGAATGGCTTTAACCTGCCAGAGGGGAGATTTAGATTGGATAGATTTAGATTAGATATGAGAAAGACATTCTTCCCTGTGAGGGTGGTGAGACACTGGCACAGGTTGCCCAGAGAAGCTGTGGATGCCCCACGGTGCTGTTGATATATCTGTCAATAGCTTAGAAAATGCTGTCCTAATAAAGCAGTAGGCTGTGATCAGCTATTAATATAACTTAGTAGCTTGGCAAAGACCATGTAAGTTGCTCATCAGCTCACATTATTTTTACAAGTTACAGACCCATGGCAGCAGTCTCTGCACAACAAGAGTATTAACACTGGAATAAAGTGATCATTTTATGGAAGCAAAAAGTACACACAATTATGTTTTATTAACAAGCTCTTAACCTTATAAATTTCAGTATCCCTTATCAAAATGCTACTGTTCAACTAACCCCAGAGCTTGCTTCATTCCTTCTTGAAGTCCAGTGGACTTGTGCCAGGAATGACTAAAGCAGAAGGATACTCAAACCAACTGAAAATGTTAAATGTGCAGTAGATATATTGCCACTTACCTCTGTTTGCCATTAAGGGAGGGAAAAAAATGAAGTCTTGTCATAGTCTTCAAAGTTCCTTAAAAACACAGCTTTGAGTTCTCAGCTCTTTGCTGAGCTTCTGTACAAGCATGAAGTCTATTTTCTGGAAGCTATTAAAGAATTAAAAGCCAAATATCTGAGTACCATCTATCAGTGCCATATTGACCAAGCATAAATTCTTTGTTCATCTTGTAGGGATGTTGGAATTTCTGCCAGTTGAGGACACTGTGAGTGTGTAAATGTATGCACACACTATATATATATATGTATATAAATACACACAGAAACAGATTGGCAATATCTGTGCTGTCACATTTCAGCTGCGTAAATAGTGCATGACTGGAAGAAGGACCACTTCCAAAGACAGCTACTTCCAAAAGAAACCAGCACCGAGCCATGGAACATGAAGGGAACACAACTCGCCACAACTGCGTGGCTTATTTGCAAGTTTGTTTTCTTCTTTAAACCCTTTTGGGAAGACTGCTATAGAGCACTCATGGCTTTCCAACACAACCAGCCTCTACCTTGACTTTCCTTACACTGTATTACATGCAGAGTTGTTTCCTTTCATGAAATCTTGTTGATCATCTGGAGGCATTCAGAGAGATTAACTTAGAAAAACAGATTTCCTCGAATGTGTTCCCCAGTTGAAAATTCAATTCTGTAACCTGGCACTTTTCACAGTTCTTGACCTATTGGATTTTACATTCCCACAATTTTAATTTTGGCTCTTTTTTAATATAAAATTTTAAAGCTATTTACTGATACAATCTATTGATGGAGCTGTAGACTGCTTCTCCTTTCTGACTGAATGCTGTCTCTCTGGGTGTTGACACCAGATAAAAAGTTGCATAGGTTATTAGGAGGAAAAAGTTGGGGGGGAAGTATGTTACCTACTTCTCTTTCTTCCCCTGTCCAGTGATTCTTTACCAGGAAAGATGCTCCTATTCTCCCATATCTCAAAATCAGCAGCGCATCCTGCAGGATCTCTGTGTGTAAAGAAAACTGTTAACCCAGGAGGTATAACTCAGATCTACTGCAAGAAAGAAGAAACGCTGGTTCTTCATCAAATTCAATTTTTCTTTAGCAGTCTCTCAACTGTCAATTTTATACTGGCTGGTTGATTCTGCACTCACCAAACTGGCAACAGTCCCTATTCCAATCTCCATTATGTTCATCTGCTAATCTGATGACAGAATCTGTCTCCTTAGGCAACAAATCGGGGGACCAGAATTTATCCACCAGCAGGTTTCATTCCACTGAAGGGTAAATTAAGTTGGGTTTGTAACATCTTTGTTTATCCAAAATAATTAAACAGACTGCAAGAACTTGAAAGCAGATTTAAGAGAAAAGTAAGGCCATGATATAAACAGCAGCAGATCTCATCCAGAATATGTCACATAAATATCATGCTATCAAACAAGAAATGTAAATTCTCATACGTACTCTATAATTGAAAAGTGTATTATACATTAGTGAAGTCACCCATTTATCTGATCATAATCAGTTCCAATAAAATCTCATTTAGGAAAGTTGAATGTAGTTCAGGGTGGATGGTTATGAGGGTATCAGTCATGTGCACGTGCACTGAAACAGTGCTGAAAGAGAGTTC